CTTATTTCCTATGGTATGCAGAGTATAGGAATCTTCTTCCCTCTTCTTGAAGCCAAAACTTTGTTTTCTAGGTTTTATAAATTAATCAACACCTTAAAATTGTATACCTTTGTGGTATACACATTTATACATATATATTTAATGTATGTATACAGTGTGGAATGTCCACATCAAGGTACTAGGCAGATGCATTGTTTCAACATGCTTATTTTTTGTGGTGCTAGCACTTAAAATCCAATGTCTTCACAATTTTCAAGTGCATGATATATCAACTGCAGTCACTATAATGTCCCATAGATCCCTTGATCTTATTGTGCCTATATAACTACAATTCTTTGCTTTTTGACATCTATCTTCCCAGACCCTCTATCCCCCCACCCTGACTCTGGTAACTAACAATTTAATCTTTATTTCTGACTTCAAGATTAAAATAACTTATCTAAGGCACAAACACTTCTTTCAACTAATTAAAGACCACAATATTGTTCTGATCTTATAGATGTTATCATTGATATTAAAATATTGAAAATACACATCATTGGGTCAAAATTCTGAACACTGTGGGAATGATTGGTGAGAGCTGGTTTGGATACAGAGATTTATAATTTCAAAATTCAAGTAGAAGAATTTAAAAGACTAAAAGTACATTGAAGCTGTGAGATGCATTTTCTAAAGCTAGTGCCTTTTCTTTTTTTTTTATTATTCATTTATTCTCACGTGCGTACATTGTTTAGGTCATTTCTCCCCACTGCCTTCTGTCCCCACCCTCTCCCTTCTACCCTCCCTCACTTGCAGGCAGAACCTGTTCTGCCCTTATCTGTAATTTTGTGGAAGAGAAGACATATAAGCATAATTAGAAAGACAAAGTGTTTTTGCTAGTTGAGATAAGAACAGCTATACAGAGAGATTCCATAGCATTGCTTTCATGTACAAATGTGTTGCAACCAAGGTTGATTCATCTCTAACTGATCTTTGCACTGATTCCTGATTCCCTTCTCATGTTGACCTCTGTTGCTTTAAGGTTTCTGTATTAGTTCTTCTGGAGTGGGGACATCAAATGCTTTCATGTTTTTGGTTTTCTTTCTCTCCCCATACTTCCCATATGTGCTCTCCCCTTGTTATGTGACCCAAGTCCAACAACATTGCTGTATGTGCCCTAGATCTAAAGACCGCATATGAGGGAGAACATATGATTTAGCCAGTGCCTATTCTCAGCCTAATCAAAAATCAGTTAATTGAGCAGAAATTAAGTTAAAATATTCCTTTTGATTCTCTGTCAGCATGTGCCCACTCTGATAACTCTTGAGCATTTCAAGATGTTTTTATTTCCACTTTAGGACATAATTTTTGTAAATGCCTTTGGTTTGTTTTGATTTATGTTAGGACATGGTCTTCTATGAATTTTTAAAAGGAGTATCATTTTTGCTCCAAGTTACAATGAAATGCCCAAGTTTGAGAAAAAAATTAAAAAGCGTTTGAACTCCCATTAAAAAGCAGAACTCCCATTGAATACTGAACCTTCAAAGTTCTGAACCAGGATCTGCTTCTTTTTTTTCCTGCTGCTGAATGGAAGTCGGGAACTCACCAAGGACAGGCAAGCACTGTATCCCTGAGCCACAACCCAAACCTATGTTCTCCCATAGGAGCCATGAGGGTTTAGCAAAATCCAATACCATAGGGGCAATTTATAATACCAAAACTCATCCTTCCTGCCTGAATGACCCAGAAGATTCAACTATGTGAGTCCTGCATGTATTTCCACAGATAGCCACTGGTAAGCTTGTGGGTCTGGGATTCTATACTGTTAGTGGGGAAATGAAGGATTTGTTACAAAAAGAAAATGTATCTATTGTGATCACATATGATGGTTGAATAATTAAAAAAAATCAAATCTTAAAGAAGTTAGGTGTTTCAACCCTAGAAAGATTTGGACAACAGTAACACATGCTTTCTGGAATCTTTTCAACCATTTAATGAAATACGGGATAACAGTTTAAGGTTAGTTTGGCTAATCAAGAAAACTCCAGAGGATAATAATTGGGCTGATGCATGAGCAGGAAACATGTTTGCAAAAAGATCAAGAGATTATATATTCTTAGAATGGAAAGGCTTCAGAGGAAACTCTTATTGTGTTATCAGCTATCTGAAGCAGTTTCCTGGGAAGGGGAGAATGAATTTCTGTGGGTTGATAGCTGATGTTTACAGACAAAACAATAAGTTGCACACTTTTTCTAATATTTGAAATGAATTATCTCACTTAATTTTAACAATCATCCTATACTGTGTTTCTACCCATCATTCTTATTTTGCCTGTAATGAAATTGAGAAACTTATAAAATGGTTGAAGGGCATGACAGCTAGTTAATGGCAAATCCGAGTTTTAACTTTCTTCCCTGGTTTCTGATTCATTATAACTTACTTCTATGATTTATGGAAAATGTCTGTTATGCAAATTCTGATTTAGAGACTATAAGAAATTAAGAGGAAGGCAGTTTGGAGGTAATTATAAAGAAGCTCTATCTGACATTTGGAATTGACCTGCAAGGTGGCAGACTAACTTAGAAAAATAAATGAGTTTTCTGACTCTGAAGTGATTGAGGCAGAGATCAAATGGTGAACATCAGAAATAGTCTAAAGGAATGAGATCCTTAATATGTTAGGCAATGTGGTTAGCCTTAATAAGGAGTTTGAACTTAGATCCATAAATCCCTTAAAATTTTTTATATTCTTGGAATGAGAGTGAGAAATTGTTAATGGTTCAGGTTATATTCACACAGAGAAGATTCACATTTTCATATCGCTTACTTTGACTCTAGAGGATCAAGGACTAATGTCTTTTCCTCCATCTTTAAACATGTGTTTATTTTTACACTCAAAGTTCTTTGTGATCTGCCTTGTATCATCCAGTATATTAACTCTCAACTCAAGAACATTTTTAGCCTCATGTATCATAATTATTCCTGCATCAGGTTAATGAATTTCACAGATTTTATTTCTTGCTAATCCTTCACTATTGCTACATCATTTCATAATATCTCATCTGGACTTTGATTTTCAAAAATCTACAACATGTTAAAAGACATCTTCCTTAGATCAAAAAGTAATGTCACTACATACAAAGAAGTTCATTTTATTTAGAGAAATTTATAAATTAATAAACTATTTCTGATTTGTCGATTTCACTGGGTAATAATGTTATTATAATAAGTTATAGAAAGTAAAATAACCTAAAGTATTCAAAGATATTAAGAGAGCCAGTCATCATAATTAATGAATTATGCATGCTTCATTGAATTTCAAACACCTAGCATAATATGTATACTCCATAAATATATAATAAAGTTATCTTTGTTCTTCAAATGCTTTAAACAATAATTGGAATACAATCCATTGTTTATGTTTCTTAAAACATCATTAGGAATGAGATTTCTACTTTGTGTGTAGTAAAGATACCTTCTGTTATAAGAAAGACCCACATTAACATTTTGTGTATTGATTAAAGGAAAAGTTCTTAAACTTGAATACTGAAGAGAAGAAAGCCACAGTCAGAATTAGATAAGTATGAAGGAAAGGAAATAGTAAATACTCCTACAATGGGCATGATGTGTATTAGAATATAGATGCCCTTCCTTTCTCAGAGACAATCTAAGATCATCAGCAGAAAAAACAGAAAAGCAAAAAACACTTGCCAAATCGTTGCGAAGGTTTGATTATGAGATTTTCTGTTACCAATCTGTTGTTTTAAACCACCCTTACTGTTTGCCAATTTTATAGTCCACTTAAATGTCTTCACAAAATGTTTGGGAATTGCAAAAATAAAATGAATGTATTTTGTAAAGTATTTTGGATGTTCTATAAGTTGCAGGGGAAATATTTCTTGAGGGAGTAAAAATACTAGTGTCAATCAACCATGAGACAGACAAAACTGTTCTGAGCTTTGTACAATGATAAAGCAAAGCCCTTCAACTCTGAAAGAACTCCCATGGTAAAAGAGGCAGGTGCTCAGGAAGTTTTCAGTGATATAGTTCAAAAGACCAAAGAAAGGAAGAAAGAAAATAGGATGGAAATAGTCTTATGGAAACAACATGGAGAAGAAAATGTTCACCTCTATAGAAATCATTGCATTTTTTTAATCAAACATTACTTTTCACAGAGAATTCCATGTTATTTCAAATGGGTAAGCAGAAATGATTGTTCAGGCTTAGAAAGAATAGTAACTGGTAAGGGAGATAGAAAAGCAGATCTTATAGGTTGGCACTTGATACTAAATAAAAGCAATGTGCATATAGCAAGAAATGGAAGGTGAAAACAAATGCTAAGAGAGACTGCTGAGGGAAAGGATCATAAATGTAAAAATAACACATTTCTCATACAAGAGGATATGAATGACAATATGAAAAATAACTGGATGGGTTCAGAAAAACGAATCTGAACATTGAGCAATTAGTTTAAATGTATTATGAGAGTCTATGAGAGAAAGATCTGACTATGAGGAGACTAACTTGACAAAACTAGTTAGTGAGCTACAAAGCTGGAAAATATTTTTAGGGAACATTACTGACTTTGGAAGTCTGAATGATCTACCAACACTGTCGATTATTTACATCATGAGTAGGTGTTGTGTAGTTCTTAAAATCTGTTTGTATTAAATGATTGTTCCCAATTTCAGTTGGTAGATCACAAAAACCCTATATGGTGCAAAGAAAGGGGAATCTTTTTAGTCCAATAGACATGGACCAGAAGGCCATCTAGTGAGTCTAATTTCATTCATCAAACATGGTTAAGGAAGGAAAAAGATGGAATCTGATGGTTGATCTTTAATTTGCTAGAAAAGTAGACAAAATTTAGGATTTGTAGGAATCAAAGAGATAAGATGAAATACTACTAATCTAACTAAAATTTATTTTGTTAAATTGAATTAACTTCTTCTTGTTTTTAGTTTATCAAGTAATAACATGGAATAAACGTGGAAGCACCAATACCAATACGACCAATTTACCATGCTGGCTGCTAACGGCTCAGTCTTCATGCCTTCTGTACTGACACTAGTTGGGATTCCCGGCCTGGAGTCCATACAGCACTGGATTGGGATTCCATTCTGTGTCATGTATGTCATTGCTGTGATTGGAAATTCCTTAATTTTAGTTAAAATCAAAATTGAAAACAGCCTCCATAGCCCCATGTATATTTTTTTAGCCATGTTGGCAGCAACAGACATTGCACTTAGCACCTGTATTCTTCCCAAAATGTTAGACATCTTCAGGTTTCATTCTCCAGAGATTTCCATTGATGCCTGCCTACTGCAAATGGGGCTTATTCACTCATTCCAGGCAACTGAGTCAGGTGTCCTGCTGGCAATGGCCCTGGATCGCTATGTGGCCATCTGTAACCCCTTGAGACATGCTACTATCTTCTCTCAACAGCTCTTGATTAATCTTGGAGTTGGGGTGACACTTAGGGCTCTCATTCTCATAGTACCCTCCCTATTGCTCATCAAATGCCGTTTTAAACACTACAGAACTACAGTTATCTTCCATTCTTACTGTGAACACATGGCCCTTGTGAAACTGGCAGCTGAAGATACACGAGTCAACAAGACCTTTGGCCTATTCATTGCCTTTTCTATCCTGGGGTTTTACATAGTCTTTGTTACACTGTCCTATATTCGAATCTTTATCACTGTCTTCCAGTTGCCCCAGAAGGAGGCACAACTGAAGGCCTTCAACACGTGTATTGCTCATATCTGCGTCTTCCTGAAGTTCTAAGTCCTTGCCTTCTTCTCTTTCTTCACACACAGGTTTGATTCCCACATACCACCGTATGTTCATATCCTCTTGTCAAATCTGTACCTCTTAGTCCCACCTTATCTCAACACTATTGTCTATGGAGTTAAGACTAAACAAATCTGGGAACAAGTCTTGAAAATGTTTTTATCCCTCACAAAATCTTGATCTTAATGACTGCTTCTACAGGAAAATTAGGTCAATTCTAAGTAGCAATTTGAAGGAAGTAAAAATTTATGTCATTCAACTCCATATATATGAAAAAAAATTTTAAATGTCACTTGCTCAAAATTTAAGTAGATATTCAATGTATCATTAAGAAAATAACCTTGATCAACTCATTCACAAAGGGAAAATTCTCTTATGTTGAAACTTAGAAAATTCTTTTGGGAGTATCTAAGCCATACATAAAAATCAGAATTTCAGAAAATTCTTCATTCCAGGTAATTTCAACTGATCATACTATGCAATGATCATTTTAAATAGCTAGCCCAACTCATTACTATAATTTTAGTTATGTTATACTACATAATATTTGCTTTTCAATCTCTATATTGACAACTTTGTAATTACTGCTCTACTTTATTTTCTCTAAAGTACTTATTCATGTAAAGACAATATAAATGTAATAATGACACTTAGAATTATATAATAGTACCCCAAATCTATAAGAATTTAACAGGAAAGAATGCAAAGAAACAGACTGCAAAAAAAAAATATTCACAAATATTCTTTTTTAAGAACACAAAATACTAAAATATAGATTTATTCAAGAAACACCTTTATGGCACCACACATTTTTAGTAATTTTTATATAATTTTATATTTACTAAAATTTGGAGGTCTAAATGTTTATTCGAACATGGAAAGAAAAAGATTATACTTCATTTAAAATATATCTGGTACTAGCATCTCAGATCTAATTACTTACCCTTGTACCAGCAATGCATGTAATAATGCTTAGAACATTTTAGAATCTCAGAAAAATGACATTAAATGATGAACACATTAACATTTTCCTGCTGAAAATGATATTCAAAAACAACATATCTGGAACCTATAATATATGACAAGCTAGTCATACAGAAAATGTATGCACTAGACCATTTGTTCCACTAGTGTTAAGGTAAAGAAAAGGTACAGACTTGAAAGAATTCTGTAATCTTGAAAAAATATGAGCCAAACACAAACATGGCGTATAAACCAGGATGAATTGGTAGAAATCACGTTTAATTTGTTTTTCAACCAACCAGCAAGTCAGTCTGATAACAAATAAGATGATTAAAAACAAAAAGAAGCAGATGGGAAAGGACATCTGGATCCCTAATTCTTAACAGATAAATGATCAAAGAAAGACATAGTAGAATAAAATATCTCTGTTTTTCTTATTTCTGTTTGTCTGTCTGGCTCTCTTTCTCAAACACACACATACACACACACAAAGACATAGGCAAAGATCTTATAATTTAAAAGGCAGATCTAGAGAATATTTTTAATTTTACAAAAAAGCATTGTCAGTAATGCAGAAATAAATTAGTTTGATGTGTTTGGTTTTTAAGAAAATTAAGTAAATTTGAAGTATACTTGAAATAAATAATATAATCATAAAAGAAATAAAATATGTCAGTTAAATGTCCAGAATAACCACAGCCTCAAGGGCATATGGCACAAGCTATAATGCACCTACCAGCAAGTAAAAGCCTTGAGATTAAAGCAAAGCCTTGAGTTCAAATACCCCCACAAAAAGAAATAAAATGACAGACATCTCTATTGCCAGAAATATACATATAAGAATAACATACATATGAAATAAATTAAGATACAAAATAAATCCAGAATTGTTTTTGTGTTTATAGAAGGAGGAGGTACTGCATATGATATTATTAAAAAATGTTCTAATTGATTTACTGGACATAGAGTATATAATTTGATCAGCATTACTGCATTTAAAGCACCAACCACAAGAATTTTCTCAAGTACGTATGTAATCCACCCCTTGGTCAACTACCATCTCCAGGCAGCAATTTATCTGCTTGCTATTAATAATGATGAGTTTGCACTTTCATATTTTTATATAGACATATGATATAATATTTAACTGCATTTTTGTATAATTTCTTTCACATCATTTTTAGAGTTAGTAATAAATAATTTGCTTTTTCTTGTGAAATAATATTCCATTATATGGCTATTCATTAATTTATTTTCCTATTCATTTGCCCATGGATTTTTTTTTTCTTTTCTGAATCAGGGATGTGACAAATAAAGCTACTATTAACATTCATTGACAAACATTTTAGCCCCTATGCTTTCATCTAAGGGTACATACATAGGTGTAAAATAATTATAGCATAGGGTAAATGTATGATTGAAAGTTAAGAGGTGGAACAAGATAGAGGCAGAGTAAGATGTGCCAGTGATAGTCTGCCTACAAAGACAATAATTTAAAAACCACTCATGCACCAAACTACCTTCATAAAAGCTAAGGTAACAAGGTGAAAAACCTGGTTTTAGCATAAAAATAGGAAAAAACATATTAAAGAAGATGGGAAAGAAAGAGTTGTTACTGTCAGCCCGCTCATGACCTCCAGCACAGTGTAGGTTGTGATGCCTCCCAGTAGGTGGAAGGAGAGAGAATTAAGTTAAAAACCTTAGACTTGAAATCCAGGACCAGGCCCACCACAGTGAAACTCAGTGCTGGAAGAATGCAAGGTTCTCACCTCCAAGCCAGTAAATGTACTCCAAGTCTCTGTTCTCTCTTCAGCAAGTAATTGGAGATACTGCCTCCATCACCCCTTCTACAACCTTGCACTAACAACTAAGAGCAAAACTTCAGCCACTGTGGTTTAGGTCAGGGAAGTGTTGGTGAAGACTAACACTGAGTGGGTTTCAAGTTTTCATGGTCCCTAGGCTTGAAGGTGGAAGTTTTTGACCTATCAAAGTGTCAGCTGGTGATCTAAGGACTTAAGCAATCAGAAATATCCTGGTCAACATCACCTCTGCCTGGTCACATGAGATAGCCACAGCAGCAGGCCATAGCACTGTGGGCTTTGGTCATGTCCCCTAAGTACTGATTTTGGTGAGCTCTGGACTACATGTATAATCTATTACTGCAGACAGTTCCCATGAGACTGCCCACTCTATTCTTTTTCCAAACCCAGGGAGAAAAACACAAAGAGTATAATTATCTTCTGGGCTGTTAAGTCATTGCCTATGGGCCTGGGGCTTGTCCTTGTAAAGTTAGGCTAAAGCCAAGCAAAATCCAGATTTACCTTACAGGAAGCTGGTGACCATGGATGAGGAGTAAGAACATGAGCTGCAACCAAGTAGAGATTTTTGGAGATGGAGAAAACTGTAGAAACTCCTTCAACCTGTTACAGAAGAACATCAATTGAGAATTTGGACAACCCTAGGATTGGAGAAAACTTTATTGCTGATACAATAACAATATAACAACAGCAGTCTCACTGCAATGCTACGCTTATGTTCTCATCAAGAGCTGAAATGGTAACGGCATCCACAAGCTCAGAGAAAACAAGCAAAATGTCTAGAAATTTTGAAAGGGTGAGCACTAGGAAAACAAGATAATGAATTAAATGAGTACACAGGTCACATGCTGTTGGTTCACGCCTGTCCTAGCTACTCAGAAGGCAGAGATCAGGAGGATCATGGTTTGAAACCAACCCAGGACAAATAGATTTTGAATCCCTATCTCAAAAGAACCCATCCCCAAAATAGAACTGTAGAGTGGCTCAAGTGGTAAGTGTACACACTTAGCAAGCATGAGAACCTGAATTCAAACCCCAACGCTGCTCCCACCAAAAACTGAATGCCCAATAAATAGGCAACAATGTATGCTTATAGGTATCAATAACTTTCAGAGCAATATAACCTACCTGAATGAACAAAATAAGGTGACTTATCCTGATCCAATAGCAACTCTTAGATGGAGAATACAAAGTACTTTTTTTAAGGAAACTCAGTATGCTTCAAGAAAATACAGAGAAATAAATTTAACACTCTAGCAGAGAAACTTAAAAGAAAGATAGAAGTAATTTTAAACATCAAACAGAAATCTTTGAGCTGAAAGGCATACTAAGTGAAATTAAATTTATGAAACAAGCATCAAATAGAAGGACACAATAAAAGATGAAAGATTAGTGAGATAAAAAAATGGACTATTTGAAAACACACAATTGGAGTAGATAAAAGAAAAAATGAGGAGGAATGAAGAAAGATTGTAGGAAGTCTGAGGCAGCATTGAAAGGGAAAATATTCAAGTTATTGAAATTCAAGGGGAACTTGAGAATGTGAAAGAGGTAAAAATCTTATTCAAAGAAAACCAACAGAAATGTTTCCAGAAGTAGGAAAAGCTACAAATACCCAGGAATATTAAAGTTACTCAAATTCAAATAGAGCAAGTCAACCCCAACACATATTTTCATCAAACTCTCCAGCATTAGAGCTACGAAGAGGAATTTCAAAGCAGGAAGAATTTGATGATTGGCTAATCATAAACAAGTAGCTAAGATTTAGAATCAATACAGAACGTGTACATAAAGTTCTAGGTGGGAGCTTGCTTGCCATCCTTAGTCCTGAAATGATAAGAGAAAGATAGGTTTATCAGGACTCAGAAAGGGAAGCATGTAGAGATGGGCACCTGGTTTGCGTCTTCCTTTTCTGTAGGAGGATGAAGCCATCATGAGCCAACGTGACTAGTTGGGAGGAGAGAAGTAGAGAAACTTCTCCAGCTCCCTGTTCTTCTGTATCCCTATTTCTTTTCAGTCCCTATCATTGATCAAGTACAGCATCCAGACAGCAAGAGATCCTGTTGGCAGTCTACTATGGTCAAACATATTACCATGTGTGGAAAATAAGTCATGCTTGCAATTTTTCCAGATACTGCCCTGACTTTCATAATTGTATCCCCTCTCACACTTTGTGGTCTAGTTAGAGGGCTCCCTGCACTTCTAAAATAAACACTTGCACCTCTGATGCATTCTCCCAATGTACTGAAATGTTCAGGATGGAGATTATGACCTAAAGTTGCCAGAGAATTTGAAAGTGGAGGAGGATATAATTTTCCCCATTTATTATAAAATGGAAAAATATAAAAACCATGTGACAAAGGTGAATGCTTATATGATGAATGATAATCTTCTGTGTTTAGGATCCTTAGCTACATCAAATATTGATAATATCAATTATATTTAATCAAATTAAAATATGTAAACTACAAAAATGATTTAGGGCATCCTTTGTCAGTGAAGGCGGTAAGCATTAACCATTCTTCTGGTAGTTTCACAAGGAGAGAGAAAAACATGGAGAGGTGAAGATTATCTCATGATAAATTATAAACAGTTTCTAATTTTTATAGAATATGAGAGGATGGCAAATTTTTTTATTAATTAACAAAATTGTTTTCAAAAGAGAATCATTATTTCTTCTAAAGTTAGCAATTCTGGAAAAATCTAGTTATTGATTAAACATATTTAAATAAAATGGAATCTCATCATTAGTAAGCTAGATGCTTTACTTTTAAAAATCTCCAATGGCTATAATCAAAAACACCATCAACAACAAATGCTGGTGAGAATGTGGCAAAAAAGGAACGCTCATATACTGCTGGTGGGAATGTAAGCAAGTACAACCACTTTAGAAAACAATCTGGAGACTTCTTAAAAAAACTAATCATAAATCTGCCATATGATCCAGCAGTACCATTCCCAGGGATATACCTGAAGGAATGTAACTCAGGCTATTACAAAAGCACATGCACACCCATGATTACTGCAGCACTATTTACAATAGCCAAACTGTGGAAACAGCCAAGATGTCCCACTACCGATGAACAGATCAAGAAAATGTGGTATTTATACACAATGGAATTCTATTTAGCCACAAAGAAGAATGAAATTTTGTTATTCACAAGTGAATGGATTGCTTAACATCTTAAGCAATGTTAGCCTGGAAGCGGGGGCTTGGAGGGAATGGAGGGTGGAGGTGGCACAAACAATGTATACACATGTAAATAAATGTAAAAATGATAAAATAAAAGGTCAGAAAAAAAATCTCATGATTAGAGATTTTAATCAGTTTCTAGAATACATGTCAACGCTGATGCATACCTCAATCATGTATTTAGAAGTAAATATTTTTGCTCCTTAAGCAAAACTGCCATTTATTCAGATCAGAATACTTAATCTGTTTTATTAGGAAAAACTCTACAGCATAGTGAAAAAAAGTATCACACTGAGCAAAAGCAGATTTAAAGGGAAGCAGTGGTTTTATTACATATTGAATGACTTTAAGGAAAGTAACTTAAATAACTGAATCTCATTTTGCATTATGTAGAGCTGAGCTCAAGCTATTCCCAACTCTTTGGTTGCAGACACAATGCTTCTCCACAGTTTTGTCCTTAGTCAGCTCCTCTCATTAGCTACAAACATTTAGAGCTTTTTATTTTCTTCTCATACTCTGATTTCAAATCATGTGTTGGATGACATTATTTATTCCGGATATGGAGGCAACAAATATTTGAGAATCTTCCTAGTCCTACTTCATAGTACCACTGCAATCTGCAAGTGGAGGTGTGAGGGAAAAGACTGAGGTGAAGGCCATACTGAAATCTTGGCGTTTGGAGGGTTACAGGACTCTCATTCATTTATCCTGGGACCTGGTGCCTCTAAGGACAGGAAGAAGCCTTATGAATTCATTCTGCTTGCTCTCAGAATTAGAACCATCACTCAGGCAAGAGGAACTATTCTACCAACCATGTGAGACCTAGGGATAATAAAAGTGGGAGAAAATAGGAAAACATAGAGGGAAACTTAAAAATACAAAGAGAGAAGTGTAGATGTCGAAAGTGTTAGGAGGAGGCCCCAGAAAGTACTTCAAGAACAAAGAGGCTCTCAGCTCAGTTATGGACACAGTCTTCACCAAAATGTCTTTATAGTTTGTACTCACTTTTGTAGTATCCAAGTAAGATAGACTTTTCCGATAGGCAAGACTTACTTAAGATGTCCTAGATATCTGTGTGTTCTCTGTCCATGGAGATGATTGCATGGGGTGAAGTGGGACTTCAAGACATAGAAGAGAAGGAATTTTAGAATGAGATTGAACTTTCCCCAGATAACCTTCAAGCTCCTCTCCAATCCCAAGTATCAGTGTTTTATAATATAATTTAATTATAGCTCAGAAGATGCAAGTTCACTTTACAAGTCCAGTAGGTATTCAATTATAAACTAACCAACAACATCTATCCTTCTCTTCTGGAAGATCATGGACACATAACATGTTCATGTGACTGAGACTGAAATTTCATGGTCAAGAGCAATAGGAGTTGGACAGACAAAATCAAGCAAAGCCACAATGTAAGTGTGGTAAAACAATAGATGGACTAGTCACTCATGAATGTATATGCTGTATAGTGAGTAAGATGTGAGAACTCTAGAATGCGAATATGGCTGCCAGATTCCTAGCTTACTAAAGTCCCAAGGATCTCATTCTTTGTCTAGGTGGAATTCCCATTATACTTTAGACATATTTTTCTTTCAAAATTCACACTGAATAGAATGAAAAGCAAACTAATATATCATCACAATTATCAGAGTAATCTTGGGGTAGAGAAAATGATTAAAAGGCAATTCCTATCTCTGAGTATGTTAGATCTTTACTGGGTGAAATTGAATGGAAACTGACAATTCTTACCACAAACTACATAATCACTTTTGTGAAAATCTTATTCACTCTGTTTTTCTCTATGAGAAGAAACTATAGTCTACATTTTTTCCTTAATATCATTACTTGTCAAAGGATACAATTGTTTCTGTTGTCCTTTTTGTCATCACTGTCATCATCCCCGTCATTTTGTGATCTCTCTATATAAGAATCTATTTTTACCTACAATCTATCTTTCTGTTTTATTTTACTTTTAAGTAACATGTTTGAATGATTTGCAACAAGAAAATGATAAATGTTTGAGATATATGTTAATTTTCTGATTTAGTCATTATATAGTGTCTCCTTTAATTCCCAGCGCTATCCTGCCATGTTGTTTTATCTTCAGTTTATAAAGTAGAGAACTTAATGGCAAACAGAAAAAATCTTTTGTCCACAATCACAACTCAAACGGAACATTGGAACCAGGGTACAACCACGGCTGATGTGACAGGAGAAACAGAGAAAACAATTGTTTACAGAATGGTGGGCAGTTGTCTCCTTAAAGCCTTGATAAAAAACATTGCCTTAACTAACATGATTCACACTGACCTCCATGTCAGATATCTTCCACCTTTCAATTAACTTCAAATTTCTTTCTTGGCAGTAGGAGACAAAGGTTCTAAGATAAGAAAAATGGTGTGAAGTAACTAAGCAGTGAGGTACAAAAGAGGAAAATTTCCTAGTTCGAATCATGTGTTAGAAATTATACAGGAATCTCCAGAAACTGAGAACCAGACTAGGGAGAAGGATGAAGCAGACATGTTCAAGGACTAAGCAGCAGGCTTGGGGGATTATAGGCAGACAGAATGAGGAAGACAGCAGGGTTACATAACTTTATACAATGTGTGGATAGGATTTAATAATGATACAAAAAGTCAGAAAGACTGAACTTATCTTGGAATTTACTTGTTTGATTTCTTCTTTACCTTTCAGTTCCTAGAAAATCATATTTTCTAAATATCTCAGGAAAATATGTGCTACATCTAGGGTTTATTTACATGGTTCTTCAGGAATTGAAAGGGATTCTACAGTCTCCAAAGCCAAAATAAAGTTTATAAGACATGAAAGTGCCAATTTATTTTCTGTTGAAGGGAAGTAATGTGTCCTATGGAGAGCAAATTCTCATACCAGTGTTTTGATTAATATAGATGATTGCCAAGTGAAACACAATTGTGATTTTTAAAAGGCAGCTAATCTTCAAGACTTCAGAGATTTTTTTCTTTATCACAGAAGAAATGAGGAAAGAATTTCTTTTTTTGGTCTACATACTAATCATTGACTGTTAAGGTCAGATTCTGATAGGATCATTCTGTCTCTAAAATATTTTTTTCTTATTTTTGCTTTAAATCTTGAGTTTCTAGTCTACTTTCCCAAAGATCAATCCATTGTTTTGCTTTTTTGCTGTGAACAACAGTCACTAAACAAGGTATGAGTTCTGAAAATGATTCTGAATTTCAAAAATCAGAGTCAGCATTAATTTTACTTTCTTTAAGTTATGTATTTTAACATAAAATAATTTCATTTAAAATTACATATTATTTCATCCAAAGGTATCTTAATCTGTAGGTAGCTCTAAAAAAAGACAGGCCCAAACCAAGCTGATATTAAAGTAGATTGTCTGAAAATTCCAGGCTTGTGACATCAAATTTATAGTTGAAAATAGCAGATTATGAACAAGAACCAGGCTAGTGAACACTTCCTTTAATTTTGTAAGAGTGGCTTGCATGGTATCCTAGCATTGGGAAAGAAAAAATCAAGTCTAGAAAAATAAAATGACTCACTGTGAACCACTGTAGAAGTTATTTTTGGAAAGCTAATGTGAGACCTGTACCCTTGCCAAGAAAAAGCCTGAGAAAAGTGTAAATGTACAAATATGGTCTGGAATTGTTTGTATATGGCTGTGTCTGTATAAGCCTTATCCTTGTAAGAGCATGCATGTCTAGAGGGGATGCTGTACAGGTTTATATCTGAGAGGCAGAAGTGAAGGTTTTAAAGCTTGTAAGTCATGGATTAATGAGTGGTTAGCTATAAACATTAAAGTTCTGTTTTTCTTTCTTTTTCTTTCTTTTTTTTTCTTGAAGCAGATCCTTATCAATGCCTTCCTCATTGAAGAGCAACTATGGAATTGGATTGTGCTTTAACAGTCAGCCCTATGGCAGCCTCAAACTCCAGCAATACCCTGTCCTCCACATTCTATCTTACAGGCATCCCTGGCTATGAAGAATTTCACCACTGGATTTCCATCCCATTTTGTGTTCTCTACCTTGTTGGAATAACAGACAATTGTATGATCCTGCACATTGTCCGGACAGATCCTAGGCTCCATGAGCCCATGTACTACTTTCTGGCCATGCTCTCTCTCACTGACATGGGTATGTCACTACCCACAATGATATCACTTTTTAGAGTGTTGTGGTCAATTTCCAGGGAGATCCAGTTCAGTATCTGTGTGGTCCAAATGTTTTTGATTCACACTTTCTCCTTCACTGAATCATCAGTGCTCTTGGCCATGGCCCTTGACAGGTATGTGACTATCTGCCACCCTCTGCATTATGCTACCGTTCTCACCCCAAAACTTATTGCCAAGATTGGAATTGTAGCTCTCTTCAGGAGTGCTGTCCTAATGATTCCACTGCTGGCACGTGTAGCCTTTTTTCCCTTCTGCCATTCCCACGTCCTTTCTCACTCCTACTGTCTGCACCAGGACATGATCCGCCTTGCCTGTGCTGACATCAGATTCAATGTCGTATATGGGTTAGTTCTGATTACTTTGCTGTGGGGCATGAACTCTCTGGGCATTTTAGTATCTTATGTTTTCATCCTTCACTCAGTGTTAAGAATTGCATCCCGTCAGGGGAGGCTTAAGGCACTTAACACATGTGCCTCCCACATCTGTGCTGTGCTCATTCTTTATGTGCCTATGATAGGGTTATCTGTTGTCCATCGTTTTAGCAAACACTCCTCTCCTCTCATTCACATCTTCATGGCTCATATCTACTTATTGGTTCCACCAGTGCTCAACCCAATCATCTACAGTGTGAAGAACAAGCAGATCTACCAAGGAATCCTCCATCTGATCTCCCCTCACAAAATCAGTTCCACTGTGATGTAGGCTTGTCCTCAAGACAATGATGGCTTCAGTACCAGTGCTGTGAACCATATTGAATTATATTTTGTAGATATAGTGGAAGCAGAGTTGTCAATAAAAAGCTAGTTGAGAAGAAGTACAGCCAAAATAGCATCATGATAAGGCTCTGATAGAGAAGTTTGGTGTCCATTTAACGTGTGCTACATAAATTCCCCTTACATATGAATGTGTTGCAAAAGAGTGTGTTGGAAATCATGTCTGTTTACTCTCTCACTTTTATCCTCAAATATGGTTCAAGTAACTTATCTATGAAGTTTTCCTGTAACACAGAAAACCTATATTTTATTGCTTCTTGATATTCTGTAACACTGATGGTCATTTTGAAAGTTCCCAAATATTGCATGAAGCTAGTAGTATTAAAATATTGGTTTAAATATAACCTAGTAATAATTTGTGGTAAGTTACTTATTTAAAATATAAAAATAAATCTCATTGGGGTATAATTACTTACAAGTTTGTCATATCAGGAAGCATATAAACTGGGACTCTTGTCCTTTATCTAGAACTGTTTTCAATATACAAAACAATCATGACTTATATTTCCTAAATTATTTAGCACATGGTTATTTAAACAGTTGCATAATAATATTTGCAATGTTGGTAGTATTGTCATAGTTAACATGTCTACTCTAGCTGAAAGGAACCTAAAAAAAACAGGGAGAAAGAAGACTTTATGAAAATAGGTACCAAGGAGTGGGTATTTGTGGTAGAGGGGAAGCCGAAGTGAGAGATAAAGGAAAGTGAATATGGTCGATGTATTTTATATACATATGTGAAATAGAACAATAACACCTTTTGCAATTGTTTAAGTAGGGGGAGGAAGATGAGGGAGAGAGGTGGTGGGAGAGAACCTAAACAACGTACAATGTAAGCATATTCAGAAATGTCACAATGAATTTCCCCAGTACAAAATGTATGTGAACAAAGTACTTTGAAAAAAAAAAGACATTTTATGGTCCCTTATATTTATATGGGCTTTATTTATATACTTTTATGGAAGTAATTTATGGGGTTTGAGCTCAAGGCTTTACACTTGCAAAGCAGGTGCTATACCACTTGAGCTTCTCCACTAGCCCTTTTTAATGTTAGGGATTTTCAAGACAGACTCATGCCAACTATTTGCCTGGGCTGGTCTAGAACCTTAATCCTCCTGATATCTGCCTTTGGAATAGCTAGAATCACAGGGGTGAGCCAGTGGTGCCTATATGATTAATAGGTAATGTGTTTAAAAATGTATTTTACTATGTATTAAGCAGAACTGCAACAATTAGCACTATGCTTGCTATTAAAGTGGTACTCTAAAATTATTGACTGTATAAATAATAATGAAATTAACCAATCATTACAGAAACAAAACTATTTTGAATAGATTTATTTTTAATTTCTGATTCTGTCAGGTCATAATTTATATTATAAAAGAGAGCTTGCTAACTTAAAATAAGAATTTCAAATTTCAGGCATCTGAGGTGTTCATAGAAAACCCAGGAATGTTTATTGCTCCCTAATTTTGATTTCACTGTGTCTGGTACCACTTTTTTTAAAAAGGATGTTCAATTGTATTTTAAATTAACAGAATTGATTTCCTTGTTGGATTTAGCTAGAATTATTTTCAAAACAAAGCATTCAGAGGAAATTTGAAGCTGCTGTGACTATTTGTCACACATGAATCTAGAGCAAATGTTTTTTAATTGATAAAGTACATGTTTTATCAAAATGCACAGAAAATCTGAGAAAAGTATAGGGATTGAATTGGACAGCCAGAAGCCCTTGGACTGTTTATTTGTTTTGTTTTCTTATGCAGTAATAACTCTGTTAGTTCATTGCTAACAAAATGGAGAGATTTTTAAAGTGGCAGAGATGGACAGGAGAACCAATACAAAGAATGTTGTTCTAAATGTTATGTCAATGATTTATTTGTCAGAGTCAATTGTATAAGTAAATTATTCAGCATTCATTGAAGGAGAATTTTATTCAAAGAATAAGCACTGTCCAAATGTGCTTATATTATATTATATTATGGATTATAGGAGTTTAGATTATATAAACACAAAGTAACATTATAACAAATTTTTCTTTAGTTCTCATAAATTAAGATTTCTTGTTTTACTAATTTGTAATAAGTCCCAACCATTGAGTTTTTCTTCCAATGTTTTTCATAAACTGGGATCATATTAACAATCTTTCATCAACATATATTGTTTTTCTTATACAGCTTCATAGATGGATAAGAGATTTCCTTTGACTTGTAAGAGGCTTTCTGTTAGAATTTCAAACCATATCAGTCAAATCAATAATATAAATGCTATTTCCAAATGCCACAAGAATTTTCAGCATACATTTATCATGTTCATTTTCAATACTGCTGTGTATAAAATTCAAAAAGCAAACACTAAAAATATGAATACTCATTAACAATTTGCATTCCATGCTGGGAGAAAACATGCCATTGAAAACTAAGACATCTTAGTGATCTCCAAAATACTTAACTCCTACAGCAAAAAATTGGGATCCTTGGATTTCAGTCATCAATGGCTCTTCCTCATTTAACTCTAAGATGGTTGAAGTTGGAAATTTAAATCTATGCAGAATTACAAGTACTTCTTGTCATGTACATGATCCAATTAAAATTTTTTTTAAAGCAACTTACCAACTACACTGAGAAATTAATCCTATTTGTTGAACAAGTATCCCAAATGGAAATTGTGCTGGAGTTTAGAAGAAATTGAAGTTGGAGCTTTTCAGCTTAACTTAAAGACAGTCATAGTAAATGATTCAGAAACTCTGATATCCTGAAAGAGATGTTGTATATTGTTTAATTTGTATCTTTCAACAGCACTAATATAATTTATCTGCAATGTGGTAATTTCCTTGTGCAGCTATCTTTTTTTTATTTATTATTCATATGTGCATACAAGGCTTGGGTCATTTCTCCCCCCTGCCCCCATCCCCTCCCTTACCATCCACTCCGCCCCCTCCCTCTCCCCCCCACCCCCTCAATACCCAGCAGAAACTATTTTGCCCTTATTTCTAATTTTGTTGTAGAGAGAGTATAAGACATAATAGGAACAGGGTTTTTGCTGGTTGAGATAAGGATAGCTATACAGGGAGTTGACTCACATTAATTTCCTGTGCGTGTGTGTTACCTTCTAGGTTAATTCTTTCTGATCTCACCTTTTCTCTAGTTCCTGGTCCCCTTTTCCTATTGGCCTCAGTTGCTTTTAAGGTATCTGCTTTAGTTTCTCTGCGTTAAGGGCAACAAATGCTAACTAATTTTTTAGGTGTGATACCTATCCTCACCCCTCCCTTGTGTGCTCTCGCTTTTATCATGTACTCAAAGTCCAATCCCCTTGTTGTGCTTGCCCTGAGCTAATGTCCACATATGAGGGAGAACATACAATTTTTGGTCTTTTGGGCCAGGCTAACCTCACTCAGAATGATGTTCTCCAATTCCATCCATTTACCAGCGAATGATAACATTTCGTTCTTCTTCATGGCTGCATAAAATTCCATTGTGTATAGATACCACATTTCCCTTAATCCATTCATCAGTGGTGGGGCATCTTGGCTGTTTCCATAACTTGGCTATTGTGAATAGTGCCGCCATAAACACGGGTGTGCAGGTGCCTCTGGAGTAACCTGTGTCACAGTCTTTTGGGTATATCCCCAAGAGTGGTATTGCTGGATCAAATGGTAGATCAATATCTGGCTTTTTAAGTAGCCTCCAAATTTTTTTCCAGAGTGGTTGTACTAGTTTACATTCCCACCAACAGTGTAAGAGGGTTCCTTTTTCCCCGCATCCTCGCCAACACCTGTTGTTCGTGGTGTTGCTAATGATGGCTATTCTAACAGGGGTGAAAGTGGAATCTTAGTGTGGTTTTAATTTGCATTTCCTTTATTGCTAGAGATGGTGAGCATTTTTTCATGTGTTTTTTGGCCATTTGAATTTCTTCTTTTGAGAAAGTTCTGTTTAGCTCACTTGCCCATTTCTTTATTGGTTCATTAGTTTTGGGAGAATTTAGTTTTTTAAGTTCCCTATTTATTCTGGTTATCAGTCCTTTGTCTGATGTATAGCTGGAAAATATTTTCTCCCACTCTGTGGGTGTTCTCTTCAGTTTAGAGACCATTTCTTTTGATGAACAGAAGCTTTTTAGTTTTATGAGGTCCCATTTATCTATGCTATCTCTTAGTTGCTGTGCTGCTGGGGTTTCATTGAGAAAGTTCTTACCTATACCTACTAACTCCAGAGTATTTCCTACTCTTTCAACTTTAGAGTTTGTGGTCTGATATTAAGATCCTTGATTGATGAGTTAATATTGGCATAGGGTGATATACATGGATATAGTTTCATTTTTTTGCAGACTGCTAACCAGTTTTCCCAGCAGTTTTTGTTGAAGAGGCTTTGTGCAGCTATCTTAAACAAGCAAAAAACTTCCAGTGTTGCTATCTTAAGCAAGCAAAAATGTCATTTCTTTTTCCTTTCTTTTGCAAAATCTGAGAACAGAAAGGCAGAACAGGTCCCACCTGGGGGTATTTATACTAGTGGGAAGAAGGTGGAAGTGGCAAAAGGGTATAAGAGGGTGAATATGGTACAAATACTGTGTACATAGAATGTAAATAGAAAAATGATACCTATTGAAACAGGTTTCAATATTCTACATTCATTCTTGCATAGAAAGTACATCAACCATATTCACTTCTTTACTTCCTTCCTTTATTCTCCTTCTCTTGTTAATGCCCTCCCTTTAGCCCTTAGCATGACATGTTTTTCATTCTACTCCTCATTCTTTAGGTGTCTGTTCATTGTGCAGTGGAATTTTTGCCTTGGTATTATACCTGTATATGTACTGTGCTTAAGTCAATATAACCCCACTTCCATTGCACTTTCTCACCTTTTACTCCCTCTCTTCTGTGTTGTTACACAGTCTTTACTATGTTTTATTGTGTCTTGGTCCTACAAATATGTG